GCCGGGGCCCGGGCTGGGTCACGGGTGCTGAGCCTCGGCCCGATCTTGGGTGCAGGGAAAGACGGGTGCCGCTGGAGTCAGGCTGGGCGAGGGCTGCTGGGCCGGGCCGAGGCTACCGAGCAGCTGTGAGTGCTGGAGCTGAACTGGCCCCTGCGGGGCCCACAAGCATGCTTGGCCCTAGGGTAGCAGCACCCTGGGGATGGGGGAACTGGGACATCCCTGCCCCTGGGCCGACACGGCCCCATCCCCCAGCCAACACACTCACCTTGCAGAAGTGCCACCCGAGCCTGGCACCATGGACGCACCACCCATCACGCCTGGGGAGCTGCTGTGTCTGGGCTCCAGTCTCGCCTTCTCCGGCCTCTTCTACTACCTGTACAGGAAGAAAGCCAGAGTCATGGCACGCATACAGGTAGCCCTGTCCCTCAGATGCTCTCTCCTGCCCACTGTCTCTTCCCTGCTGCCCTACACTGCCCAGCCCAGAGCCTTTGATTTGGGTGCACCTCCTTCATGACTGCAGCCTGCTGCATCATCTACCAATGTCAGATGCCCAGGACCAAGCAGGTCACACCCTGCCAGAGATCCCCACAAAGCCATGCATGACCCACCTCTGCCTGCCAGCCCATCTGCCCCTGCCCGTGTTCACACCCAGTCCCTGCTCTTCCAGGAGGCCCCAAAGCTCCAGGTTGATGATGATTTACCAGCACTGGTGTCTGCAGCTGATGGGAGGTGCCTGCCTTATGTTGCCCTGGAAGGTAAGGAGATCCTGTGACCCCAACTGGGGATAGGGGCCGGGCTCTCCTGTGCTGGCCATGATGCATCCCTTGGTCCTTAGGCATAGTGCTGCCAGCCAAGGCTGCTCTGACCAGCCATTACCATGAGGGGCTGCAGGGTGTGATCCAGAAACTGCTTCTGAAAGAGCATCGGCTGATCTGGAACAGCTTGGCCCGGAGCTGGTGAGTGATGGGAGGGGACAGCAGGGGGGGCTTGACTCGGTGGGTCCAGACCCCCATCCTATGGGGCCACTTGAGATGCTGGGTTAAAGGCTCTAGTCCCTGCCCTCGGCTCAGCCCCAGGAGCTCAGAGTTCCTCTGCGTTGTCCACATCCCAGCACTGCACTCTCTGCTTGCAGGAGCGAGAGCGAGCGGGTGCTCTCGGAGCAGGTCTACACCGTCCCTTTCTTGCTGGCCTCGCCGGACTCTGAGGCAGTGATGCCAGTGAGTGTGGAGAGCCCACTCCAAGCTGTCTGCCTGCCACTGGAGACAGTGTATGAGCGGTTC